ATCTCAAGCAGTGGAGTGACAAGGTCACACTGGTCCTTTGACTGTTCTGGTTCCACTATGGAGAACAGGTTGAAGGAGAGCCAACATTAATGTTCAAAAACCAGTTAGATAAAAACGAGAGCACACAAGGGAGGAGTGAGGATAGGTAAGACACCTAAAAATTAGCTAGCATTTGTTGCCCTTAACGCAGAGAAACTAAAGCAGATACCTTAAAGCAACTGAGGCCAATAGGAAAAGGGGAACAGGTACTAGAGAAAAGGTTAGATCAAAAAGAATTAACCTAGAAGGTAACACCCACGCACAGGAAATCAATGTGAGTCAACGCCCTGTATAGCTATCCTTATCTCAACCAGCAAAACCCTTGTTCCTTCCTATTATTGCTTATACTCTCTCTACAACAAAATTAGAAATAAGGGCAAAATAGTTTCTGCTGGGTATTGGTGCGGGAGAGGGAGGGGGCGAAGTGGGTGGTAAGGGAGGGGGTGGAGGCAGGGGGGAGAAATGAACCAAGCCTTGTATGCACATATGAATAATAAAAGAAAAAGGAAAAAAAAAAAACCAGTTGCCTCTAATCATACCTACTCAGAAGGTGGCAATCAGGAAGATTGCAGTTTGATGCTAGCCAGGGGAAATGCTCACAAGACCCCATCTCAGTCAATAGAAAGCTGGGTGTGGTGGTGAGCACCTGCCATCCCAGCTATGCAAGAAGCATAAATAGGATCAAGGTCCAGACCAGCCTGGGCAAAAGCATGAGAACCTATCTCCAACATAACCAGGGCAAAAAAAAAAGCTGGGAGAGTGGCCCAAGTGGTAGAGCACCTGCCTGGCAAACACAAGGCCCTGAGTTCAAACCCCAGTGCTGCCAAAAAACAAAAAAAAAAAAAAAAAAAAACCTGCATTCCTTTTCAGTATTCTTTCCATCTTCAGGTCCCTCTATGTGCTCTCGTATGGTATTTATGATAACGATGACTTTTAGTATAAGCTTTCCTGTACTACCCAAAACAACAGTTTTTCTTTTTTGAAACTTCACTGACAACATACCAGAAGATCTTGAAAGGTGTTTGCCACCTGACAAAAGCCAAAGTGTGCTGGCCTTGCAGTTTGTGGGGTTCCACACGATCCTGTTGACATCACAGCGTCCTCTTCTGTCACTAGTTTTACTCAAGTCGAGTTGCCTGTTATTCCTCTCTTGGGGTTTTAGCTCAGAAGTCGTCACAGGGCTCACAGGATCAGCGACATGCATGCTGTCCACACACCTTCTTTGCCATTGTGCGACATAGGAGCGGAATTAGTGCTGTGCCACTTTCAGCCCCAATTGTGTGAAATCCCCTTTCTAAAGGACAGAGAGTCTCCCAAGTGTTTGTACTAAGAGTGATGCACGTTGCTCAGGTAGGTAAAGAAACACTGATTTCTGACCTTTAACTAGAATACTTAGCTTTCATTTTTTCTTCTTTTCACATAAATTGTGTATACTGTGCTCCCCTCGGGGAGAAGTTCAAAACATTTTGTGTTAGGGAGGCTCCATTCTGGGATCTTATTACTTCCAAGATGAGAAATGCAAGCCTTGCTATCACTGCTTTTCCTATGAAGCAGGACACACAAGCGACATGGGTGGAATTTGGCCCTGGAACTTCTCAGGTCCCAAACCAGTTCTTACGGCCAAATTTGGTGCCTTGCTTTTGGTCAATTGGACACTTGGCATGTAAAATCTAATTTTTACTCAGCAAAAATCTTGGATTTCTTGACATGGTTTTAGATTTTGTCTTGCCTGGTAAGGCAGGCTGCAAACACTTGCTCAGGAACACTGTACAGGTGCTTTCCACGGCCCTTGAGGGACGGAGTGAGCCGGGCTGGCACCCAAACATTTCATTATGTTGTAGGAAGTGAAATATGGCCAAACAGGTTTTATGTTCTGAATATTCCTTCCTCTGCTCCTAGCTGGAGGCAAGTAAGTCAACTTCATATTCCCTTCCCCCTGCGCCCCTGACATTTTATTTTTATCAACCTCTTAGGAAGTTTCAGGGGATTGTGGGTGGTGCTTTTTCTGTTTTTAAGTTTTTTATTCTTTTGGTTCTTTTGCTTATTGTTTGAACAAATCAGTTGGGAAAATGAAAGCTTCTGAATGTTTCTTAGCTCTCTGTGGATGAATGTTACTTCGAACCCATTTGATATTACTAATTAATTTAATTGTGCATAAACACATTTTGCGTCACCTGCTCTGATGTGAGATGGTATCCTCCCACAGCCACTTTGACTCAAGGCTCTAATTGCTTCGCCTCAAGCCTCAGCTCGGGTTTGATTTATCTGATTTCTTTGTATAAAGATTCTCTAGTTTATGATATGTACACAAGTCATTAAATTGGTGTTGATGTTTCTGCCGTGAACTTGCCAGCTGGTTACTGCAGACATCCATCCCTTTATGAATTTATGGGGGGCCATAAAGGCAGTGCGAGAAGCCCCTTGGCTGGACGGAAGTCACTTTCCTTCTGCTGTGTTAGGATGGTAAAGGGGACGCTTGCACTGATTTCTGTAGCAAAGGACAATGGTGACATCCAGATTTTTTAAACTGAGAGAGAGACAGATGTTCGCACTTTGAAACAAAACTATATTGAGTATTTTAATAGGGGGTTCATTTTTGTGACCCTGACTGAATGCATATCTCTAGGTTATTACAGAGTCTGTGCAGTAATCTAAAATTCTTCAGCTATCCGAGTAAAATATTTGAAGACAAGTGCTCTGTACCATTTTTTTTATTTGTACTTTATATTGCAAAAATAGGCCAAGTAAGACAAACATTGTTCTGAAGTGTTAAGTTGTAGGAAAATGAAATTTACATTGTTTGGTGTTGCTGGAAGAATATTCAAAGATTGCAGCTGTGAGTTTGGTTTACTAATGAAGGACAGACAGACAGAAGTCTTCCTGATGGAGAACACTGACGTGCTCATTTTGAAATAGCTATATATGTATTGTGTTAACACTTCTTCCTGTGTAGGTGGATGGTTTGATGATCCTTGTCCTTTTTATTTCTGACTAATGTTTCAAATTGGAAATCAAAAAAGTTGATTCTTAATTTTAAACATATACCACAGAGGGTTTATCTCCAAGTATTATGTATTATTCTATGTATGTATAACTTTGTTTCATATAAATGATAGTTGAAAATAAATCAAAGAATTGAGATAAAATGCAAGGACTGAGAAATACAGGAAGAGCCAGCCAAATAAGGAAAAAACACTTTGTGTTTGAAAAGAAGGATGGATAGCCAGAGAGGTGGAGAGAAGGAAGGAAGATGTTCCAGATGGTTCTGGAATTTGTGCAATAGAAGAGAAGATTGTCACATGCTATGTGGTTTCTGAAGAGACAAAAACAGGACTGTACTGTCCATGACAGTGGAGATAAACTGGAAGTGAGATAGTGAAATTCATTTTTATCTACATTTCCTCCCAGTTCTTACACTTTATGGGAGCTGTTTTTCTTCATATTGAGAAAATTCAGGTAATTAAACATAGTGACAAGTACAGACGAAGAAATGCAGCAATGTCTAATTAGCAAGGTTGTGGCTAATGAGGACTGAAAATATTTGCTCTCACTTACAAATTAAAATGACTGAAGTATCATAGAATAGTCTTTAAATGCTTTTAGTTAAAAAAAAAAAGAAGAAGAAATAAAACTGGCTCCAGTCAGTTTTCATTTCAATATGGGAAGTCAAATTGGCAATCAGCTATTCAGTGGATATGTTTTTACTGGGACCCTCTGCTGTGAAGCTCGGAGTTAGGCAAGGTATGTTGCAGAGAGGTGTGACAATAGTTCCTTTTATTGAGAAGTTTACCCCCTCATCTCTAGAATCTGTGACAAAAGGCAGAATATGGCCTTTCCCACACCAACAGAATAAATAAAGTGCAGCCATATGACTGATTCTGCATTATTTATTTCATTTTTATTTTTTGGTGGGACTGGGGTTTGAACTCAGGGCTTTGCACTTGCAAAGTAAGTGCTCTACCACTTGAGCTGCTCCTCCAAGTTCATTTTGCTCTGGATATTTTGGAAATGGGGAACCTTGTGAACTACTTGCTTGTGCAGACCTCGAGCCACGATCCTCCCAATCTCAACCTCCCAAGCAGTTAGTATTACAGTTATGACCCACAGTCACATGGTCAAAAATAAAAAATTCTTGATACAGTATTTTTTAGAAGTTGAGAGAAAGGAAGCATCATTTCAAAGTTTTGGTCAGGGAAGTTTCATCTTGAAGAATAATGTATCAATCAGAGTTGGATTTTCTGTGCTGCTCTGACAAACACCACCAGAAATCTCAGCGGTATAACACAATAGGAGTTTCTTGCTTGACACTCAAGGTCAGTGGTAAGGTTAGGCTCCTCTCTAAGGCAGCTGTCCAGCAGAGGTCCCTTTACTGCAGCCAGCCTCAACATGATGGATTGGAGGAGAGCGGACGCGGCATTCATCTCAGCAAGGGAGTTCTTCGGCCCTCAGATGGCACATGCCCCTCAGTCATTGTCATTGGTTCAGGAACTAGTCACATGGTCCTGCCCCTCTGTGGAGAGGAGAGACCTAGTGGGGCTGAGAAACAACATCTTCCATGAACATAAAAAAGGGAAGAAGAGTCAAAAGTTATGGTGAACATTTGAAATATCTACAAGACAGGCAGTGTTTTGGTGGCAAAGATAGAGGAGTAAAATGGACAAAAAAGTCAATATGCTTTGGTTAGGATTTCACACTTATGCTACAGAGTAGTGGGACATTAAGTTTGGAAGCTCCTTTGGGACCAGATCGTGAAAGACCTTAACACAAGGCCAAGAATCTGTTTTTTTGGTGACACAGAGCCATCTAAGTTTTGGGAAGGATATGAATGATTCATTGAAGTTGCTGGTGGTGACTTCCAGAACCAAATTGTAGTCAATTTAGAGACATGAAGATTTTTCTTTGACATTAGTTGAGTATGATGCAACACCCATGTTCTGGTGTACTTGGGAAAAATGCGAAGGATGCGTTTCTACCCTACACGTGTCCCAGCTAAAGAATCTTTTGTACCCCTGCTCACCTTTGTCAACTGTAATGCCTTTGAAGAATCCATCATTGACAGGAAAGTAAGAGGTTGCATGGCCAGACACCACAGGAAACATGCGTTTAGAAACCCTGGTAATCTTCATGAGCATTGAAAATGTGTGAAGATATCTGGTGGCATCAGCTATGTTGGGATGACAGGATTGACGTAGAAAACTCATTGGCAGAGCAATGAAAATGATGAATGAATCTGATTTATGTCTGTATTTACCCAGTGTGAATAAATAAATAGCTACTATTTGTTACATGTTTAATTGCTATATGCCAGGCATCATATTAGTGTCTAAGCCTTTTAATGTGACCCACAAGGCTCAGGTGGCTCTGTCACTGGCTGCTTCTCCAGCTACCTTCCTTCTCCTCGCCTCCCTCACTCTGCTGTAGGACTCTGGGCTCTTTGCCATTCTTGCCTCCCAGCTGGCTCTGACTTCACTCAAGTCCCTCAAATACATCCACCTTCTCCAAATGCTCTCCCCATTACAAAGGAGCAACATCCCTGGTCATTTTTTATAACAGAATAGTGCCTTATTTGCCTTGTAAAATGTATTGACACTATACAGATTTGATACTCTGTGTTTAGCTTAACAATCCTGTCCTTCACTGTAATATAAGTTCCAGAGGTGAGAATCTGCCTTCTGGGACAGTGCCTAGCATTTGGCATCTGTTTGTTCAATTTGTAAATGATGTAATTCTACCTCAGGAGACCCCTGTGAGGTAAGCACCATTATTTTGTTATCAAAGAACCCAGGTCTTAATGGTGATTTGCCAGCTTCTTCAGACTTTCATATTCAGTAACATGGCCAAGATTAGAGCCAGATCTGTCTGAATGAGGGCTCTGCCTTCTAGCCACAGCCCTCTCCTGACTCCGCTTTACCAGGATCATGGTAATTGCAAACTGGTGAAAAAATAATCCTTAGGAGTAGAGCATCAAATGTATATGCTTGGGACATTTTTCTGGTATTAGTACATATTTGTTGACAGTGTGATAAATATTTCTATATCCATGAGAAAGTGAACTCACTGTCCCTTCTCCCTCCACCCCCCTAAAAAAGGTGCCTTGTAGAGCTAATCGGGGGTGATCTTGAAAGGCAAATTGCTCCGTGGCCAACTGTTTCCTCCTGTGGAGTGGGCCGCTTCCCAACGAATTAACCCTCCTCAAAATGAATTATTAACCCCAGCATCCTGGCCAAATTCCCACTTGGATAGTGTAGAAACTGCTCACCACTTGGAATCCATTGGAATTAGTCTGGCTTGATTGCAGTCTTGCCATTAATTGTGGTATAACAAGGTTTCTCTGGAGATTTGAGCACATATTATCCTAATGCGTGTAAGATCATTTTGTCTCTATTTTTTTGTTTGAGTTTCTTTCCCTCTCTAGATATGGCCTGAATTTCTTAATAAGTTTCTGTTTGTTTGTTTTTTTAACTTCCTTGCATGAATAACTGTGAGCTCCTTTTTCCTTGAATTGCCAACCCTTTTTCTCACTTGAATGACCAAGTCTCCTGGTCATTACAGACAATAGCTGTAAAAGCTTCCAGATCCCCAACTCTCGTGCATAAGTGTTGCCTAGGTTAGGGTCAAGGTTTGCTCAGGGAGTTTATGTTCTAGTGAGAGGCACATATATGTTTTAAAATTTAAATTAACTTATCTAATAGTGAAACTCCTTAGGAACCCCATAGTCATCCTAAAATTATGGTCATTAATTTCTTCAGGCAGTTTCGCAGCTACTTGTCTTGACCAAGAATTGGCATTATAATGTCACATAAATCTGGAGAGAAAGAGAAGTCTAGTTGAAATACTAAATCATTTTTCTTAGGTAAAACTAAACCTTGGAAATCCATTGTCTTGCATGATTTTGATGGCAACTATACATCTCATAATTAATCAGGTCTTCCCAACATCACTTGATTATTTTGTTCTGTAAGTTGGCTTTGCTTGCTTTGACTCTTCAGCATCGTGGGGTGTATTATGCTGGGTGATGTCAACAACATTCTCATTTCCTAAGTTTCTGCTTTAATCTATGTGAAAAGCATTTATCTTCTGTTTAAAGGATTCACTTTTGTTAAAAGACAGGTGGATTATTCATAGGAAATAGTTGGCCTCACTGATTTTTGGCACAGGGAAAGAAATTGGGGACTCAAGGCATAAGTCTTTGCATTTAATTCTATCTGAATCACAAACAAGTGATCAGTCACAAAAGTTTCCTGCATTCCATTCTTTACCTTTGTCCAGAGAGAGGAGACAAGGGATGTGATCCATGTACACTTGAACTTCAGCAGCTAATATTAGAAAAATGCTTGGAAAATGACTGGAAAGAGCTATAAATGCAATTGCTAATGGATTTATATGTGCTATCTCTTTCCTTCCAACCTATTTCTACTAGTTTTTCCAAAAAATTTCCCAGAATGCTGCACCTGAAATGTGACCTGATGACACCATAGCACATGTGTTTCCTGAGTTGGTTGAGTGTTTCCAAAATGTATCTGCACTTTAAATTTAAATGTTTATCACTAGGGTTTTAAATCATGGAAAATGTTACTGCCTTCGAGTGACAGTGACACTTAGGCACTTCTGCCTAAACTATTGTGATCAACTCTGTGGGGTTTCTTCAGGGACCTCCACCATCTTCGTCAATATATACCTAGAAGTATGTCATTTCTCATGGAAAATAATTTAGATTTTCAAGAGTGTTAATAAATTGATAGAAAGTATGCTTTTAAATTAGGAACATGCAGAAATTACCTCTCCCCTTGTCATTAGTCTCTTATTGACTATGTGATTGTAACTAGGTTTCTTTTCTTCCCTGTGCACTTGAAATGAGGCACACCTACTTCCACCTCAGCTCAAGCACTGAAAAATACCTGTTTACTTACCAGATATTTATTGAGCTGTTTCTGCCCTCCCAGACTTTCTTCTAAAGCTGGCCATGCCAGGGAAACAGAATACAGATGTGAGAACCCAAATGCTTGTTAATAAATCCACCCAGATATTTTATTTGACAATTCTTGTAAACACGTAGATTTGTTTCTAAAGAAATTAGAGTTCAGTCCGCTGGGGGCATTAATTGCTTTGTAGGAACATTATCTAATAAAAGAACTCCCTTTAGCAAATAGAAAACTCCCTCAGTAACTCAACCAACAAATGTTTCAACCTGCATATGTTTATGCAAAGCCTAGCTTAAGTCGAAGTTCACTGGCTGGCAGGTTTTATACTTACTATAAATTGTATCCCAAATGTCTAAGGAGTTAAAAAACATAATGTCTCCTGTTAGTAGAGTTCTGGATAGGCTTGATAACATCTTTAGTGTTCCAGTGACTTAAAATAAAACAAGAGGATGTGTTCAAGAACTTGAGGAAGAAAAAAAGAGCATATAATCAGTCAAATACCAACCTCTGTTTCTGTACTGCTCTGATACCTGGCTTGCTATCTAAGCAGCAATCTATCAAGGTTTGCAGAATTTTATACAATTATCACTGATAGGTTGCTCATAGGCTTATTTATTCCTTACAATAGTATTCTCAGACTATTTCAAAAGTGGTTAGTTAGCTGGGGAAAAAAAGATGAAGACCTCATAAAGTAGTGACTTTACATTTCTTCCTTAACTTTCTGTTTGTGTTGTACACTCTATGAAAATTTTACATGTTTAAACACTGAACTGAAAAGGTCTCCCTTAGTTTCTGTAGGTGAGATGGGATATTAAGCAGGGTTCTCCAAAGCAGGAGAGTTTGACAGTGTAGTTCCTTCCACATCTCCATCAACTGAGTCACTTCCCATCTCTTTGGGACCACTTTCGTTCCTTCTGTTTACCTCTTGCCAAAAACTGTCCAAGGTATACAGGAAAGAAACATCTCTGGACAGTAATGCTGTAGGTTCTAGACTGCCTTCCAGCCATTTAAGGTGAGACCCCCATGAGAGCTTGTCCTCAGTAGAAAGGCATAGTCAATACTTTCATGGCATAACTGTAAGAATAGCATGAGAGTGCTTAATTTTCTGCTTCAAGTCTGAAGGCTACTTCTGACTTACTTCTTGCCATGTGGCAATTCCTACATGTTTTTGCTAACTTAGAGAATAAGCCCACTCAGCTTATGTTACATGAGGGTCTATTTCCATTATTCAAATGGGAGTATTTAAATTATTTAAACATTTAAATAAGAAGTGTGATTCAGTCTGTGATACACGAGTATACAAGGTACCTGCAGACTTTACTTCACATTACCTTATTTCAGATAAAAAACTTACTCTTTAATGGTCAGCTTGTCCACTCGCCTTGCCTCTGAACTATTGGTGCTCTTTTCAAACATCAGTTCATCTCCCATACATCTGGGATCAGGAATGTGGGAGAGTTCTCTGCAGAGAGTCATGGATAACATCCAAACTATGTGACAGGCACCAACAACCAGAGCGGATGCTCAGTGATCAGAGCAGATGCTGCCTCACCGCCTCATACCCGCTGAGTTCAGCTGCATTAATGATGGTCCTTCTACCACGTGAGCCTCCCAGGCTTGTCCTTTTAAAGTCCAATTTTTATGAAGACCCTATTTCCAGGGCTTTTTAAATTCTTGCAAGAAATATTTTCATGTCAAAATAAAATTCTTTGTTTCTATGAATGCAAAGATAATGCTATTAATTTCTAACATATAAATCAGAAGGAAGAAGAGGTGATTACAGCTCTCAAATCTTACCACTGAAATTGAAAATTCAGCTTGACCACCCAAGCTAAGAGGAGCCTCTTCTCAATCATTTCTGATTTGCTGTTCAAATTGCAAAGAAAAAGGCTACCTACTAATATTCCAGTAAGCTATAAATATAGATGACTATCCAACCTTATTGTTTTGCCAAAAACTTTGAACTTTTGTGTCCATGTTTTCTTTTAGTTCATACATTTCTTGTTTATTTGGATGTACTCAGCATAATTATGGTAATAAAAGTTTAAATACTAGCAAATGATTTAATATTTTAATATTTAATCTCTTTAATTTTGAATGAGTAAATGTTTTGTCAATAGATATCCAGAGCCATGAATAAA